ATGTTTTAATGATCCTTGACACGCCGCCTATAGATGGACCCGGTTAAGTTTAATACTGTAAGAAACACTTACATTCAACACTTGTGACGACGGCTTCTTTGTGCCTTATCCCTAACCTAACCTTATACATATACTTAAAAAAAATGTTTAAATGTAGATTTGAATTCGAAAGCGATAAACCATCAGTGTCGATATTATAACATAATATAAGATTAATATATAATCGGAGAAAATATATTTTTTTATTTAATACCTTACAATATTTGTAATTGAGACACTTGTATTAGAACAAGGACCCAGTTAGGTGTTTTTTTAAATTTGATATTGTGCAGACTGTAATAAGGAAACATAATTTTATTTTACTAGAAAAAATGGCCTAATAAGTGTTATTTTAAGTACAACTGTGATAGAAAAAAAGTCTTGCAAAGTATAAAATATTGTGAACACTACTTTCAAATGTATATGACACTTTTATTTTTGGTTTTTTTTTTAAGCATGTTGATATCGAATAAAAATGTTACATTTCATACACTGAACAAGCGTTTTTTATTTTTATTAAACAAATATAAACTTTCAATATTAAATGTTTTCATTAGAACAAAGGCCTAATTTTTTCAACTTTTTAAAAAATTCCTTAGACAAATCCCGTTAAAATGGTTATTACTTAGACAAAACTTATAAAGTTTTCGTTAAAAAAAAATGTACTTAAAAAAATTGATTTTCTTGTGTCTACTGAAAATTACCAAACATTGAAATTTGGGTCTTGTTCTAATAAGCGTCTCAAGTAACATTACAAATGGCTAGCTCGGTAACAGCTGTTCTCCAAATGACAAAAATAAAAGTTAAGATTCCTATACAACACTAAAAGACAAGTGCAATAGTATAACTATTTTTTTTTTAAAACAAGAGAACAAAGTACAAACCTTTAATCCCCTCTGTACAATGGCTTTTTCACAGACTATATTACTAAAGTGTAGCATATAAGATGAGAAATCGTCGCTTCGGGCGATAATAAAGTATGTACCTAATAATACACAACGTTTGGGCGGTTCTTTTTTTTACTTGCTTTTTATCCTAAAGAATTGGCGCCAAGTGCTACCGAGGGATTCCCTGAACGGATTTATTAAAAAGCCCCAGAAGAGATGTCTCTCCGTTTAACCAATCTTTTGAACCTCGTACAAATTTCACCAACTGAGTATTATTTCCAGTGTTGTCTGTTGCCGGCAGCGATGCCATCGCCGAGTAGGTACTCTGATTTTTTGTTTTCAATGAAAAAACTTTTTTTTTCACCGTCGATATTACTTAAAAATATAAATTCCCATCGAGAGAGTTGAATATTGCGACGAGGTTTATTTTCCGCAAAATTAGTTATTAAAAAACTACCAGGTATCTAATATTGTTGGAAAAGTAAATACAACAAACTAAAAAAGCAATCAACATTTTTGACATTTTTATGTCTTTGCTTTGGCACATAAACGGAAAAATCGACACCATTAACAATCGACACCGGTTATCATAACGAAAAAATCAGCTGATTTATCTGATAAGATAAGAGATAAGGAAAAGAGATAAGAGATATGGTTTTTACTTTGGAACACATCCGGAAAAATCGACATCGAAAATGTATCCTTCTATATCCTTATATCCTTATATGTCCTTCTTATGCGGGTGGGAATGAGGATGGAGATGTTACATTTATGTGATAGGATATAGGAGATAGGGGATAAGAGATAAGGTGTAAGAGACAGGAGATAGGAAGTAAGAGATAGAAGATTAGAGATGAGGGATGGGGTTGAGAATGGGGGTGGGGACATATATGTTGTAGGAATGCAAATTAAATTTTTTACTTTTAATAAGATTGGAACTATTGGTATATAAATAAGTATTATTATAATAAGTACTTATAATTATAAGTATTTTTGGAAAAAAGTGAGGCACTAAGCCATCGATATGTACATGTCTTTAATATAGAATTTCACCTGTACCTATTCCAAATAGAAAAATCCTAAACGTTATCGCTTATCACATATTATAATGTTAATTGTTATCACCCGCTTAGGACGGTTGTTAAAGTTCAAAAAGCAGTTTTAGCATTAATTTAAATACCGGTATAATAATATTATATTATTGTAGATTTAAAATCCGTCACCCATTTGTCATCCGACCACGAAAAAAGGATTTATTCAACGTTTAATAAATGACGACAAAAAAAAATGTAAACTCCCATAAAATAAATTACAACAACGTCGTCCGACAAAAGCGGGTATCATAAATATAAAAATAAAATAAAACTGTACCTATTCGTGAATTAAAAATTAAAAAAAACCATAAGAAAACTCTGAACACATAATAATTTACATAAACTGTGTATAATAATAATTTACTACAAAGTTCAACAACCGTCGTGTAAAAAATCAAGTTAAATGTATATTAATGCGTTTGCCGTAAAAAAAGTTAAAGTTGTGATAAAAAAGTCTTTGATGCAAATTCATGGAAAGCTCTAAAAACATTTACTTTCATTACACACATGAATACATATTATAATATATTGATATCTCTATTATGTACTGTTACAACACAAACGTCATCCCAAGTCCCGTTCAGCATAACAGCGGTTTTAATATGTATTAGCAATCAAACAATTTAAGTTATAACTGATTTAAACAAATATATTTTATAAAAAAACAAATCGTAATATCAATATTTCAAATTGATAGTACTAAATAGATAAGAAAAGGGTATTTGAAAACGGTCATTGTATGCCTTTTTAACATGGCCGTCACGTTTTTGTTTACTTTAAGAGTGACCCTTCTGCTAATATCTATCCTGTGCTAATACTCTACAATGTGTTGTAAATAATTGTTATATCTTAGCTACCACCACCGTTAAGTTATGACGCAAGGAAAATGAAATTACCGTACCTTAAAAGGGAAGGAATAATTATTATTGTTTTACGCTTAACAAGTTAACTAAAATATACCTATATATTTTTCTATATTTCATGGAAATTTTATAAGAAAAAAAGAAGGCCAAAACGGCAAAGAAACCCTCCGTTTAATTATTATTATTTCCCTGTAGAGGGGCAAAGTCATTAAACAACACAGAGGAATGTTTGACAGGTTATAACGCCCCGGTGGGTTCACGGGAAATTCTTTTTGATAATTAATTTCGGCTCGGCTCATAAAATCCCGCTGCCCCGCACAGTTGGCAACACTGACTTTGTGGTAATTTTCCACGAAAATTACATCGGGCCAGTCGCTGGATTATGGTGGTAATTAAACGCAAGGGGAAAAAATAAATTTTCCAATTTATTCCCGCCTGGTATACCGTGATGTATAAATAATTTCAGTTGGAAAAAACTAATTTTACAGTACATTCTCCCGGAATCGGTAGTCGAGTATTTCGGTGTCTTAAGTCAAAAAAAAAAAAAGCATCTTACCCGACCGACCGTGACCCGTATATTCGGCTTACGCCGGCTTTTATATTTTCTTCCCGCTTTATTGTTGCCATACCCTCAGTTTTACTTTTTTACATCCCATCCCTCGTGATTTACCACATCTAGTCCTGTGTAGAAATCCCCCGTCTGACGTATACTTATCTCGCGGATGCAAAATTACGGTTCTGGCCGCGTTTATCGCCAAAAAAATATATAGGTGTATCCGCTATTAACTCACCGGCCAAATCCGCTGTCCGATTTTCCTCGAGATTTCCAAACGACATGCGATTAACTGAAATCTGATTAACTGGTGATCTGAGTTCGTTAATGATTTCCAAACGAAACACGATTTATCGGAATTTCTATTTAATAATTCGCGCGACATTTTAACATAATCAAATGTGATTACATTGTTCACAGACTATATTATTGTGAAAACATGACTCAAAATAAAATAATAATAACCGCAGATTCAAGCATCACATTTTTACAATAATAATATCACGGATTAGATAAAAAGAAATAGTCTAATCCGTGATAACAATATAGTCAGTTATCATTTAAATCTTATGATTGATAAGGAGTCTGTGCGATAATACTGTAAAATATCTGCACAATAATTCATACTGATTCGCGTGGCCACACTGATGTCTTTGTTAGTCCCTAATCAGTCTTTTTTATATTGTCTGTGTATTATATTAGCTATAGGAGTTCAGTTTCTAAATTTATAAAATGCATTGGATAAAAATATAAAATTAGCTTGATGAAACAAAAATTACACTAATATAATAATAGTTTCTAATGAACGGCAACAATTTATAAACTGCTATGAAATCACAAAATCTTCTTCTTATGTTGGCACTACTCCTAAGAGTTTTTGATCTTCGACTCTTAGGGTTTTTTTAAATATTCTTCTACCGCGTCAATCCATCTTTTTCTGGGTCTTGCTCTTGGTCTTCTTCCTTCTGGTTTCCATTCTATTGCTATCCTAACTGTTTCGGTGTATTCTTTGGCCCTTGAAAAAATTTGTTACTGGCACTAGTACAGAATAGATAAAAGCAGAAAGGTTACTTTTAAAGTAAACAAAAACGTGACGGCCATGTTGAAAGGGCATACAATGACCGTACCCTTACCTTTCCTTATCTATTTATTAGTACTATCAATTTAAAATATTGATACTACGGTTTGTATTTCATAAAATATATTTGTTTAAATTAACTATAACCTAAATTATTTAATTGCTAATACATATTAAAACCTCTTAAAGCAATTTTTCTAGTCATTAAATCAATTATTGTTTTAACTTTCGTATACAAATTATATTCTACTTTTAGTTTTACGAAAATGGTCACACTGCGACGCTCTAAGACTATGGCCGTCGCATTTTTATGTGATAAGTATCTTCCCTGTGTTAATTTTTATCGGTGTCCGGGGCTTGGTGCCCCCATCATAACTTTACAACTTTGTGATATCTCCTTTACCAGTTTTCCGTTGTTTCTTCAATGATAGACCCACATATTTTCCTCCATACTTAGTAATAGTTGTTTGTATTTATTTTTTACAGCTTGTGACTGTCACCCAATCGGAGCTTCCGGAAAGACATGCAACCAGACCAGTGGCCAATGCCCGTGCAAAGATGGCGTGACCGGCATAACGTGCAACAGATGCGCCAAAGGATACCAACAGAGCAGATCGCATATCGCACCGTGCATAAGTATAATTTTTCATTGCTTTCTTGTGTAACGATGTAATAAGCATAACGATTAATAATATTAACGATTGGCTTTGCAGAAGTACCGTCTAAGATTTCGGTGAACCAAATGTCGGCCGATGCTCGTGCCGGAGGCGGAGGAGACGAAGGAGACTACGACGACGACGAGGAAGATCATCAAAGTGAGATTATATACTGATTTACTGTAATTATTTACCCCTTCGGATGGTCGCTGTCGAGAAATAGCCGGAAATAAGATAATTATACATAAGTAGAATCTTGTTATTCGTATCGGTTGCCGCAATTAATTATTATAATTAAGAGCTCCGGGGATATAGCAACGCACTTGTACTTCCCTGAAACAAGGAACTCTTGTGACGGGTTTTCTTAAAAAAAAATAGGTGCGACCGGTATAAAATAGAGCAAAAACTAACGAGTATCCACACTACAAGCGGATACATTGACACATGTCTTTATATCCAAGTATAGGACCCTGGAACTTTTTGGTACATTCCTTATCTTTTATCTCTAATCTAGTATCCCTAATATCTTAACTCTAATACATTATCACTATTTTACGTCTAATCTCTTATGTCTAAGCCATTATCTCTATTTTATTTTATTTAATCTATTATATCTTATCCATTATCTCTAATGTCTTATTTCTAATCCATTATCTCTAATCTAGTATCCCTAATATCTTATCTCTAATACATTATTTATCTCTACTTGTATCTCTAATCTATGTTCTCTAATCTAATATCTCTTATCCATTATCTCTATTTTTTATCGCTTATATTTTATATCTAATCTAGTCTCCCTAATATCTTATCTCTAATACATTATCTCTATTTGTATGTCTAAGCCATAATCTCTATTTTTATCTCTAATCTTTTTACTCTATTTTTATCTCTCATCTCTTTTTTTTTTGTAATCTATTTTATCTTATCTATTATCTCTTATCCGTTATCTCTATTTTTATCTTTAATATCCCCCCCTTCTACCTCCGTCGCTGCCGAGTGTGATATCCAGCGTTACGTTTCGGACAAATTTTTTAAAAAGACTCCCAGCGATAAAACATATTATACATGTTAAATAATACTATTATGATGTACCTACACCTACGTTGTTTGGGTGTTCATCTTCTTGTCTGGTAATATATTTTGTGTATTTCTTGTACGGCGGCGAACACCGTCGACTGATGAAAATATTGGTTTTTGTGTTTGGCTATTGGCCCAGAAGTTAATTTAAATAAAAGCGTCGGAGATGTCGTCCCCGGGGATTTCGGTGAATTCGCGGGCAAATAGCTCTGGATACGTCTGGATACGTTAATGGATTACCGGGAGCGGAGGGAGGGGAGAGAGGTGCGACAGCGGGAGAGCCCATTTATCAAAGTCGCAGTATCCCATTTCTAAAAAAGATAATCGGCCAATAATTTAACACTCTGGTCCCCTATACATATATAGTGGTATATAATCGGTGCGATATATTATTCCCGCCTTGCCTACCTTTAATGTTTCCCCGCACACGGTAACAACATAGCTTCCGGCCAAAACCGGGAAGACCCTTTATAGATGATTGGAAATGGTTTATATCGCAGCAAATACGGAAATAAAATACAATCTCGAAACACGAAAAATAACTGTGAATAAAACTATTAACTCTCTCTCTCTCTCAATATCTAATAAATTATTATCATTGTGGATTTCTTTATCCAAACGCTAATGTTTGTATGGAAAAAAACAATACAAAGACATTCCTATAAACTATATTATCACAGAATAGATAAAAGCAAGAAGGGTCACTCTTAAAGTAAACAAAAACGTGACGGCCATGTTGAAAGGGCATACAATGACCGTACCCTTACCTTTTCTTATCTATTTAGTGTTATCAATTTAAAATATTGATATAACGGTTTGTATTTTATAAAATATATTTGTTTAAATCAGTTATAAGTTAAATTTGTTGATTGCTAATACGTATTAAAACCTCTTAAATCAATTTTTCCAGTAAATTTTTGTTTTGACTTTCGTATAGAAATTATATTATACTTTTAGTTTTACGAAAATGGTCACACTGCGACGCTCTAAGACTATGGCCGTCGCGTTTTATGTGATAAGTATCTTCCCCGTGTTAATTTTTATCAGTGTCCGGGGCCTGATATTATTAGCTTTTTAAGTTCATAATATAATATTATGGTTTTAATAATATTCGAGTTAGATAGGAAAAACGGATAACAAACAAAAGTATAGCGATAAAAAAAAAGTCAACAAGTCTGTAAGATTATTATTCTGACCAAATCGCTCCTAAGAAAACGTCAACAAGTTAATTACTGTTACAGGTGCAAAGACATTATTATGTTTGTTAGCCATATTATACTTTTGTTGGTCCAAAACACAGTCTGTCTGAAAAGTCTTACCTGAAAACTTTCTTTTCAAATTTCGAATCTAAATTCTAATTGCGCCACTTTTCATTGTTGTTATTCCTAAAGGTCACCGTATATATGTATAATACACACAATATTGTCTTCAGTTCCATTTAACTCATCGTTTTCGCCAGTATTATCTCCACGGGGTTAGATAATGTGGATTTCAGAATAAAGCTTTGGACTATAAAACGCCCTTTTGGTAATTTACCAACGATATTATCATTATCATCGGCGAGAGAGAAACAAAGTATATATATAGAATACCCAACACAGTACACACCCTCTTTGTACTTCCTGAGGGCGAACTCATGACTTTTCCTTAAGTTTTGTAATCAACTTCCCATTGTGCTCTATTGTTACACAATATTTTGGACGCCTCGTGGTGCCTCTGTTTTTCCTTTATAGCATCGAAATTAAACTCAAGTAGGTATACCTACTACTGCGGTATAGAAAACTCATCTTAGAAACTGTGTTTAATATTTAAAGTGGATCTGTACTTAGTAAATGATGGCTAAACCTATTTGAACTAATCCAGCATACAGATATATTTAATACTGACGCGTTCGTTTAGCACAATGTATTTGTACAAATCCAAATCATATTTTAAATCATTTATTTCACCGAGGTATAAAAGACAATCTGATTGCTAATAAACCGTTTACCGTTATAATTAACACTAAGTATGTATTCGATGAATTTGACTGACTTTGATTATTTAACTTAAGTAATAATTATATGTAAAAACACATATATACATATGGTCTAATAAACTAAATTTGACTCAATAGTTCAACCGCGGTTAGAAAGTTACCGTCGCCTCAATTTAATCCAAACGAATACATATTTCTTAAGTTTGAACTTGTTGCACTTTTGTACATAATACACCTGTTGTCACCGTTATTGTCACTCTTACTGAAATATTAACAACTTTTGTAGGGACAATTTTTCCAGTAAAACTCATTATTTGTAAATTAAGTCTAGCTATTTTTAGATTTGTTATTTTATTTTGTTGCCCATGGTAATTGTGCCATGTGTGGTAACCATGGTATTTTTAGTAGCCTTGGTATGTGTGGTAACCATGGTTTTTGTCTTTGTGATACACAGAAAAGAGGATAACGTTAACGATTAAGATAATGACAATGTAATGGTAGTAATTGTAATGATAATGTTAAAGACAAAGATAAAGATACATTTTAAGAATGTCTAATTTGAGATGTTCGAATATGCCGCCATTGTTGTCCACGCATACCACGGTTATCACACAAACCAAGGTTACCATATGCATCAAAATAAAATAACAAAACTAAAAATAGCTAAGAAACTTAATTTACAAACAATGGGTGTTACCGAAAAAATGTTCCTACAAAAGTTGTTAGTTTTTATAAGAATTTCATTGGTTTTTGTAGTTAACAAAAAATGCACGGTTTCCATTTAAAAAAAAAACCTTTGTTTTTGACTGTAAGTCAGCCATTTTTAATTTTGGAACATATATATATATCTTTTTAACGTCCCCTTTTGTACTCTAAAAGTCTTTATTAAACAACTTTTTCATTGGATTAGTGTTTTAAAATGGGACACCCTGTATAATATTTAAATTGAAACCAATAATATTATTATAGTAACATCAAAGCGTGTATCATCAATGACCACACGAAGAGGACTTAACGCGTTTATGGTGTGTGTTATTTAAAGAAATCCGACACCGACATGCAATCCACAGAGATTGACAACACTAGCAAAGGAGGGGAAGGTAATGAAGGGCGGGGAGGGTCGAATTGTACAACTGGCCGTGTGTGTAAATATATCTTAAAGGTGTCAACCGGGTTATTAATATTATTATAATATGTATTTAGGGTGGTCCGTGGGTTCAACAGGTTTTTATGACTTTGCCCGACCGTGTAAAAACGAAATAAATTAACGTCTGGGAAAATAAGACGGTATTTAAAAAAATAAAAAAACTCCTCGTAAAAAATCCATCGACCTATGTGTGGGCTATTGCTGAGCTTCTCACATGTGTACTTATACTTGTACAATATTGTTTTATCGTTTTACGACCGTTACCGCGGTTCGATGAATTGTTTTTTGGGGTATATATTGTACATAATAATATATGATAATAACGGCGTGTGTGTTGTGTTTAAACAGAGAAATGCGGAAAATGTCGTTCCGGTACCAGAAGATTGAATTTGAATAAATACTGCCGAAGAGATTACGGTGAGTACCTCTGCTTTACCTGTTGTGTTGTTAAAATGTAATTCGATCACAACCAATTGAATTTGTTCGGGTAAACGTGCATGATAAAGTATAGTTATAAATTTTAAAAAAATTGTTGGCGAACCAGTCAAGACAATCAAATGGCACTAAACTGTATAAATATAATGCATAATATTATCCATATAATAAAAGTGACCCGCCTCGGAGGCCGCCATTTTGAGTCCGTTTTCTTATTTTACTTACCGTATCTAACTTTATTTTTGCGATTTTCGATGATGGTTTCTGACTTCATATCGTTGATATCATTTTTTTTAACCGGTGATAAAAGATAACACGATGTTATCAGATTTTTATCATGGAATAAACGGTATGTTACACCGTTTTATCCACGACAGGACTCAAAATGGCGGAATCCATGTGTCGCCAATTTATTTTCACTATGCGCTTTATTTAGTTCATTCAATTTCTACTCATGGCCGTTTACAATAAGTCTAGTTTAGCTTGTCTATACTTTTTATTATTGTCAATTCAAATTGTATATTATTTTCGTTATGACAACTTATTTGCGCCAATGTTTTCCAGCCATATTGGGGAAAATGTCTGAACCGACAATCGTTAAGAACTGGGCTAAATTCACCATGAACATACAATCTTTGTACAAACGAGGACCGGATTCGAGGATTCACCGGGGACCGACTACACTGTGGATACACGAATCGGATCTGGCTTGCAAATGTCCAAAGATCAAGACAGGAAGGTAAACAAATGCACTAATTACTCACATAAAGAAAAAGGGGACTCAAAAAAATGTTGGGACTGTGATTTTTTTAAATGATTTCAATCAAATTTAAGGATCAAATTAGGTGGTGTTGGTTGTCGTTTTGAATTTGTAAGAGAACTTTTTATCAATTATGATTATATTCTCAGTTGTGTGGAAAACATACAAATTGAAGACGTTGAAGAAAAATTGCATGTAAGAGTGAAGTAAAATCGATAATAGAAAAGGTTTTTTTTAAATTTAAGTCGGCCTTTGTGTGAGGCAAACTATTATATTAGAATGTTGTAATGAGGTCAGTGAACAATTTCAAAAACCTGAGTTGGATTAAACTGTCTGGTTGTGACATTATTCATTTGGAATATTATACTTAGTTTCCACGTCCATCCCTGTACTCATAAGTTATTATGAACATTTTAAGTAGAATTGTTTAATTTAAAACTTGGTCGGTTGCATTTCGACCGCTTTAGATTAACTATATTATATTATAATTCGAAGAAAACAAATTGAGGCAGCGAAGATATAATTTTGAAAAATGACACAAAATGTGTTTTGGAACAATAATTTTACTCTCTTACAAAATATCCAGTCTTTATTTTGATTTAATAATAAATCACAATCAGCTTTTTCTCCGAAAATACTCAAATATCTAAAAATAAAATATTAACTAGTTTAAATTATTAGGGAAAAGTTCACAAGTATTCTATTAACTGAACAACAAAACAAATCTTAATAATTAGTACAGTTTCCAATCGTTATTTGAGTATTAGCTGAAGAAGAAAGAAAATATTCAGTTTTAATGTTATTGATAAAATACGTGTTTTTTACAATTTATTACAAAATTTTTATTTTCATTAACTATATTGACTAGACAAACCGAGTGACGAACTTGACGGAATCCTAAATGCTTATAATCTATTTTTTTCAAAAATATTTTTGTATTTAACTACTAAGTATAAATAACTATTATTAAATTATACACTCTTAAAACATAATGTTAGTTAACAATTCAAATGAATTTGACATCTGGTCAAATTAAGCAAGTTTCACATACTATTTTTATTATGAAGTTATATTTATAACAAAATGTTAGTTGGGTTACCAAAAGCGGTTACCTTGATTCCGACGTTCCCATTGGTTGATGTGATAACAGATAAGTGACAACAATATAATTTTACAACCAAATATCTCGATTAGTAATAAATCTCGATGAAACCCAATTTTCACTAATTAATTGTTAAATATAATTAATAAACAATAAGTTTAATCCTCAACGAACGTCGGTGAAATCGGCCGATCGTAGAAAAGAAGCAATTTTTTTTTTCCTTTAAATTTAGGACCCCCAAACATTAGAGGGGGGGACTAGGAGGTTAGGAAAGTTCAAAACCTCTTCTATAGACTATTGTTCAGGATTAAAGAATTAAAAATGATTATTTATTTATTTAGACTTTACCTGATACTGGGCAAGGAAAACGAAGGCGACCGCCGCGACGGATTGGTGTTGACGCAGAGATCCATCGTGATCGAATGGCGTGACGAATGGCACAATCGCATGAGAAGATTCCAAAAACGAGCCCAGTACTGCGATTGATGAAACACCGACGGAAAAGCAAAACAAACAAACAAAAAAAAGCGTTACAATTTGTATTAAACCGAACCCCCAGAATCTTACCCTGCAATTAATTTCTAGACATTTTTATTACAGTAGGTACACACACCTTACTGCGTGTGCTTGTTATAGCATAATATACATAGGAACCCTTTGAGTCATGTCGAGTCTATGTAGAATTCGGCATAAATAATATATTGCCTACCGTAGTGAGTGCGTTTTCGTACATAGCAATAATAATAATTCCATTAGGTATCTTATGTCATTGTCATTACTTACCAAAGGTTTGGTGGTGGACAAATAATTGTATTAGACAAATTTCCATTGCTATCCAGTACTATCTAGGCAACTATATATGCAAATCTAGTTCTTCTGAGTTGTGAATTTCTAATTAAATAGTAGCGTAGCAGACACATATTAATATTTTTACTTACTCGACTTATGTGTGTGTGTGTGTACGACGATAAGTTGCACTTGCAAGTCCAGTGTTGCCAAAATTCAAAAATTATACTACCGTACAATGTCTTCGAAATTACCGTAATTTACATTGAATTACCGTACACGAAACGTTTTACACCATCTTGGCGAATTATAATACAACAAAGCTATACAGAATCCATCAATTCATATTTTATGTACGGTAATTACCGTACGTCTGGCGACACTGCACTTGCAACCTCACATTAAAGACATATTGTGTGCATAGTCTAGAAAGAAAGAAAAAAATATATTGTGTTTTTCGATTAGTCATTCGCGTTTAGAACTTTGGTGTTCAAATCTATATAACATATATATTATTATTATATACTTAAATTTAATTATCGATGATATAAAAAAAAAAACACTAAAATACTATTATCCAGTCTTTATTATAATATAGTAAAATAAGTACATAATATAATATAATCGACGGTATAATAATTATACCTTTATAGTAATTCATTTTTTAGCCCCTTCCCCCCTTAGACTAATAATTATTTATACCTCTACTAGTATTTTCCTATTGATTTTTTTTTTTAATTTGGAACCTTCGCTTTTTTGAGTATTATATTATGTATTTTTTTTTTTTTATACTAGGTACTTGTATAAAGTGTACGATTATTATTTTTGTATTATTTATTAAAACATATATAATATTTACTCGCCAAGATATTTACAAGAGCATATTATAATACCTATTAGAAAGTGTGTAAATATTGCGGATGGGATTTTAAATCTGGATATTCCTACCACAAGTAAATATATATATATATATATATATATAATTATTATGAAACTCGTTTTATAATAATAATTAATATTACTATTATTGCGACAAAACATTTTTATTTTTTATTTATATAATTATATTTGTTATCTAATTTTGTGTTAATTACCCATTTGTATATTTTGTAATCCCTTCCTACCCACAATTTAATTTATTTGTAACATTTTTCACTGTAGTATTACATACCTATAAATATATTATATAAACATGTTTTTTTTTTTTTATCCAAATAATAAAAGTTTTTTGTGGTTAGTATGTGAAGTAATTATTTTTTTAATACGCTTACCAGATGATACTGGTTATCTCTTAATTATTATAAACCAAAGGGAAAAGGTTTGTCCAGTAAGCCAAGTAGGATACTTGTTAAATGATTTAACACAAAAGAATAATTGTAAAAATAAATGTATTTGCTATTTGCATAAAAATCTTTAAATAAAAAAATAACAATTTAATGTAAAATGGCATAAGGTAGGAGGTTAGGTACAGTTATACAGGAAATACCATAAGATTAACCATTAAATTACTGAACGACGTACTAATTATAGTAGATTAAAAAATATATATATAAATTGATGATTAATTTACAGCAAAGACCGAACATTTCTTTTAATTATTGTTATTTGATTATCACGAAAGAGCGACCACCACGTTTGCAATTAACAACAGTATTATTATCAACCACAGTCCTGAAACACGTAAGAGTGAAATATTTACGAAACGGTAAAATAAAACTATAAATTATTATTTATTCACCTTTGGTGGAATCTTTTTTTAAAATGTGCACAACTTCTTTTGTTTGACTTTCAATTCCAGCAGATGTTTTGTCCATTTTCACCAATAAGTCATCGACCAATTCTAGAAATAAACATAATATTTTATTATTTAATATTTATTACGATTGAAAATTGTCGATCATTTTACAATACGTTACGCACCGTTTTGAAAATCAACTTCATTGGTTATCGTAATAGCTATATTTTTCTGTCTCGATACAATTGATGCTAACTCGTCGAGCCCATCGTCTTGGTCTGTGAAATTAAAATTTAAAAAAAAATGTTAAACAACCGTGTTTTACTTACAATTTATTTTGTTTAGCTTGTATACCTTTCATTAATTTCCGTTGATCGAACACCACATTGTTTTTGAGCAAAGGTTGCTTATCGCCTTTTTCATCGTCATCGTCGTCGTCGCTATCCAACCAGCTGGAAATTTTCGAATCGGCTTTCTTCGCAGACGATGTTGTCGTTTTACTCGTACTAGGCCGAAACAATTCTTGTCGATCTGAAAAACTGTTATTGACACTCCTGTGCAAGAGAAAGAGAAAAATCTACATCACATACTTTCTTAACTGTTATCGTCGTGAAATATATAAGTAAGTCACACCTGTTTTGAAAACGCTGATTCAATAGTATAATTCTGCTTTGGAGCAATTCGAGCATACGTTGTCGACGTTCCTCTTCGTCTAGAGTACTGATTTGGAGTTATTAAGGATTAACACAATTCAAGATGTCGGTTAAAATTAAAACCAAATCATTTACATTTGTACATAAATTTAAGAAACATTCGTTAAGGTGCTAAAATCCTGGAAAGCCACTGTAAAGCCCCCGGTCGCGTATTCTAATACTTATTTATTAAAAAGGATACACAGTTTTGGAATTTGCAAGTCCTTTGAGTCTGTGCGACAACTGTTGAACTTCATCGGTGAACTGTTTGAGCCTTAGTCGTACTTGTGAAGAATATAAAACATACTTTTCAGAAGACTTATGTTCAAGATCTCTTAAATTCAATAAACCTTCTATTTCTCTATAGAGTTTTTCGCACGATTCGTATTCGACCAACCTGTAAACGTTATTTGTTTCGTTTTAAAATAATATCCACATACATGTTATACATTTGCATATTTTATTATAACAGGATAATACATAACACAAAGAACAATATAAAGAAAACAAATATATTTTCCCAATGCTTATCGTAAAATGGAATTTTACTCCGACAGCTATTTGCATACCTAATACGTTTACATTATCCTTAGAAAACTCAACCCAATTTAAAATACTCAAATACAACAAACCTGGCTAGGTAATCGAGTCAAAACTAATATATTTTTTTAATATTAGTTTTATGATATATTATTAACTAGAAGTCTACTTTTTATTGTTATTACTCACCATGGATCGTTGTCAATATAAACTAAAGCCATTGTGATTTAACTATCTAATATTATTATGTAACCAAAAGCAAGTATACAATATATTATGTATTATTTTCTCGCTATCTCATTTTAAATTTATCTCGAATCATGGCTAATTGTGTTTTATGTTTAAATTTTTCGAGGAACCGTCAATGTTTCAACAAAAAAGAAAATAATAATAAAGTACCTTAACGAGAAAAAATTGGTTTAAAAAATAGAAATAAAAAAAAATAATAATAATAATAATAATTTACAAGTTTCCGAATATTCGTAAAAATGAACTAGCGATAAGAAGAAAATAATAAAAAAACATATGATAAGACGTTATCAGACGTCATACTTACTGATAAGGCTAAACGTTTTTCACGGACGGTGTATATTATATCTATGGCGGCCCTCATCTGTTGCCTCCACTCACGGCTATACCACCCCCCCCTACTACTGTATCCGTGTAAACCCCCTCTCTCTCACCGATGTGTTGTCCACAAAATTGTACCTAAGTGACTAGAGACAGGATATCGATACTTTCACTCGGTACTACTATCGAAAACCAACATCGATATTGGTGAAATATCGAAACAATAGTATCGATATGAAAGTAATAATCGGAAGAAAAATATACTTGAAAACGACGGCTGTCCAAAAACGAAACCCAGTAAACAATAGCGAGGTGGGAATATTTTTCTCATCTAGTACTTCAAATTGTACTATTTTAAAAAAAAATGTTGGATTTCTGAAAATGCCATTTAATATGTCTTTATGTTTTGTATCTTACAAAAGCTCAACATCGGAACAAGTATAAAGATAAAAGTACTTGATAGCTGTAAGTTATAGTATCCAATCTGCATAGAGACGTCTAGTTAGACAATTTTTGAAATAATGTTCACAAAACAACAAATAATTTCTTTAGACAGAACTAACCAAGATTTTCAAACAAACACAGTATTTGAATTAGTTGTATTCTTTATTTTGATAACATAGGTATGCACAAACGAAACTTTTAAGAGTTTTGTACATTAAAAACCTACCTATTATATATCATTATAGTAAGTCAAATGTACTGAATTAAAATTTCTTAAAACTAATTTTACTATGATAATTTATAATGAAACTTTACTATGATAATTTATAATGAAACTCTTCATTATCATTACTCATAATGTAAACAATGGGCTCTTTGATAAGAAAAGTCGGCCGTACACCTGACTTCAACATTAATTCTTCTAAGTCGGCTATCTAGTTGTAATATATATCTGTGATTAAAACCACTAATAGCCACCCCCTGTATAACGGTTGGTAAAAAAAAAAATATCAGTAAAATATCGATACTAGGAAGTACTTGTATCGATACTAAATGTATCGATACTCTACTCATATCGGTAATATCGCAACGTCCATAGCCATTTGTATACTGCTGGCATTGCCGACCGCCTCCGCCGTGGCGCTTGTTACTACTTAGCGTGCGCGCGCTAGGTGCTACTTTTCCATTCACTTTGTTAAACCTAATTGTTCGCCGTTTACGTTGACTGTTTCTTTCACTTTTGATCCGAGAATAATATTATTAAATTCATATCCGCGTTACGTGGCCGCCAGTCAGTTCAATTCGGCGACAACATGTAATCGAAACACGCATGCATTTCAATAATGACCCGACAACGGCAATATGTCAGTTTTGCTAATGTCCACAGGCGAACCGCTTGACGACGTCCGCCAGTGTTAAAGTACCGCCGACCGATTTCAGGGGCACACTCTTCAACCGAGAGAACACAAGTGGATTTATAATCGAAAATTTAACAATTCACGGGTAAGACACAATACACTTTTTGTAATATTAAAATCACTTGGGGAATATAACCCACGTTCTTACTAGTATCTCTCTCTTACGTTTAACGTCCGTTAATTTCCGCCGATCAGATCATAAGACTGGTTTAGATTTGGCGTCTTTGGGCTTGTAGCGGGTTGCCGACTTAACGCTACCAAACGAGTTAGTCGGCCTGAAAGACAGGTGCAGGTGGCCATTTTTTCCCCAGACGGTTGCCCGTGCCCGAGATTTAAACTGCCGCCTGCACTAAGTATATAAATGTAAAAAGCTCGTAAGTATGTTAACTTGTAGGACCCTACTAATCATTCATTCATTTAGCATTAGCCATTATATTGAAATTAGTTAATGTTTGTTCTTATGTCCACTTTACATAGCACTTTATCCGTGTTCTGACGTGATGTATGCCAATTAACCATAAAACATCCTTCAACGAGCTAGTGATTTTCGTGTACAAGTTTTTGTGTGCTGTATCTAAGATAGATTACTATCTAGGAATCCTGAAAAGGTTTAATCATAATATTACAGTATGTCGTACAAAAAATTAACAAATAAATGATACCTACAGACATACTTACAAAATAAATACTACAAAGACAACTGTTTTTTACCCTTAGCCGTTATCTGAATAAAATGTTTGTATATTTTATAGTTAACTTAATTATCCAAGTATATTCCTACTTACAACCAAATCGCAGATCTATTACTAACTTAAGTGGCGGTGTTACTTCGGATTAATTCAAACGTGACTTCATACACCACTTTTGCTCTCGACGGCTCATTTGTATATTTTAGAATGCCAATTGTTGTTTTACGTACTTGTAGGTAAATCCGTGTAAAGTTTATATATTGGTATTCCAACCGACCTTTATTCGACGTGATGTATATTGGCTAATTTTCTATTGTATTATTAACCCAACAATTAGTATAGTTATAAAGGATTTAGTATAATGACACATATTGTTCATTACAGAAAATTCTATATTAGTATATATTTTAGTTTAAGTAAAAATTAAATAAATATCGCCTACTGAAAAATTGTATTCAAAATACCACGATAGCTGTTAAGAAATGGGTTTAGTACAAATTAGGCGTGTATAGGTTTGAAAAGCCATTTTAAAATAATAAAAAATTCCTACTGCCGCATGTAATTAGACGACTATTAATGTCTGTTGTCTATCAATGTTACAATTGTTTTATTTTTTAGTAAAGGATGGCGTCCAGTGAGACTGGTTCAACTGCATCCGACTCTGTGATAGATGTCATCACGCAAAGAGTTACACAATCGCCTACGACTCCAATATTTTTACAGACAACAGCTTGTCAAGTGATTGCTGGACTTTTTGTGTGGACAGCAGTGTTTGTGACGTGTCAACAGGTAATTGTAATTTAAACAAAAATTGAATATAGAGTTTTTTTAATAATTGCTCGTGATTAAATTGAGAAATCGTTTAAAAACATCTTTCGTACCATCGAGTGACAAACAAAATTTAAAAAAACTCTCTTAACGTTTTTTTTTATTATTAACTTATGTCAAATTGATTAATAGCACATTGTTCAGCTTTAAATGTCGCTGTAGTTAAACTGCGTCCAGCGTTGCCAAATCTAGACAAATTTTTGTATATTAAATAAGCATGACGCAAATGTCTGTAATTGTAACAACCAAAAACAGGCACAGTAACTGTTATTAAAATGTAAAACAATTATATGTAAAAAAAAAATACCAGGTACAATAATAATATACCCAGCTTTACATTGATATGCTAAGATAGTCGGCGGTCAAAGAGCAGTCGTTTGGTTTTTTATTAAAATGTCGAACCATTATCGAAGAAAGTAAACATTGATATCTTCTATTGGTCAATAACTATTAAGTCTCTCAAAAGGCATTCCAAGTTATTACAATAAACATACTTCTATTGCACATTTCTTATTTAAATAATAAAAGTTCCTTTAGAATAATAATATGGTTACCCATTTTTAACGTTATGTGTTGTTTTATTTTTATTTCTCTCTGAAGTGGCTTTAAATCAAACAGAATCTTGTACGTATAATTAAATGAAACAGATCACAAATTCATCATCTGTTACAACCATTTATGCTGTCGTTTAATTGTTCGTTCAGTAAACACAAAAATTAATGTGTACATATATCAATAACTTTCTTTGTACAACGATTTGTACACATCCGACTCGCGTTAATTTAAATGTCACACATCGTTTGCTATATTAAAGATATATATATATATATATATATATATATATATATATATGTAGAAAAGACTCTAATCTAATAGCGTGTAATGCTTGTACCCTATTATTTTCCGCCGATTTAATTATCATGTAATTATTAAATTGTTTATTTTCCGACCTTAACAAATAATTACATAATGAGCGTTTGTATTTATTTATGTGTTTACTCGATACTTTTGGATTTAAATAACATTATTCGGTTTAAAATACAAATAACAGTTGCAACTAACAATCTACACAAACACAATGCTAATATAACAACTATAAAAAAAATGTTTAATTCAATTTACCTTGTAATTAATATTCAATAACTTTTGTACGGTAGAATATTATTAATATCGAAACGTTTCTAAGATAAATGTCTCAAGTTTGCCTATGTGAAATCATTTTTTTTCTGTTTACTACTGTACAAAAGACCTCTTTGGGGTGGTTTTTTTTTTGTAGAAACGAGGTTTGTTTATGAGCTACAATTGTCAACGAATAGCATTATTTAAAAAATTACAAGAATAAAGAATAAATATATGAAAAACCGTTTCATTGACACATCCTTGAACATTATCTCTTTATGCGATTTTTGACACGGTCGAAAACGTAGCATAATTGATATTTTAACAACAAAAAAAAAACATACAACTGATGTAAGGCAAAAAAATCTGCACTTGATGTATTATATAAACATATTAACAAATCATCGGTTAGGTATATATTTTATTCCTGGTAGGAGAAATAACTAGGGAAAACCCTGAAGAACTGATAATGAAGTTACTTTTAAAAACATGTCTTGTTGTTTTCCAGGAAAACAACAAGACATAACAATAATAATAAGTATTATTATTTTCCATTGCGATAATTCAATTAAATAGAAAATAATGATTGTTTATTCGCATTTCAACAATAATATTATGTGCACAGCGAATTCTGGTTAACACACTTATTTAATTGCTTGTTATCAATAATTGATGTATTCATCAAAAACGTCAGAAGACATAATCGGACAATATAACAATGATTTATATATATATTGATGTACGATATCTTTATTATTATTATATATTTGAACTGGTGTGCCTAATTGTGTTGTCTCGTCGTTAAATTAATGTCCCAAGGTTTCCAAATGTGTGGTGTTTATACATAAATGAATATAATATTTCAAGGTGAAAATATGCTACTCGGATGTTGTGTGTTTTTTTTTCTTCTGCCGTGGTTTACCACTTACTTATTTCCTTCCCTTTGAGTCTCACCTTACTCAATACACATTACCAATCGGTAACCTTTTTCGTCTAAGCTGGTGTTGGAATGATTTCTAATCATAAAAAAAAGTACTGTTACTTTGTTTGGTCATCGATAGCCTGCAATTTTATGCCATTGGTTTTGGCAATGAAGTGGAAACACAGCTGTTGTTCCGTATAATAACCTACATTAATAATAGTTGCAAAAATAAAAAAACACAAGTCGAGCAAACCGATGAATGAAGTACACAAAAAAAAAAATCAAATGTCATTCAGTTAAAAACAAAAACTACATTGACATTAACACTCGTGTAAACGTCGCGTCGTTAACCGTGTTTAATTGACAATAATTATTTTAAAGTGAAGTGATTTTAATAAAAAAACCATAATATTATGAATGTTGTTTTTGCTAGCAACAATTTTTTCCAGTCAATTCGGTTTATTTTAGACCGAAATGTCGAGTTCTTTGACAACTTTACTAGATTATGTGGGAAACGGATTTTTTTATATTTTTTTCTTAAATATTGCCTATACAAAACTCCATAATAACAGACCGCATACAGTATAACCCTACCCATATAGTTCTCTAGTACTGTTTGAGTATACAAAATGTACATAATATTGGATCTTAAGTGATAAGAGATATAGTGATAAGGATGTCGCAGAGTGTTCATAGAACACATTGTTATTTATATAATCAATACTGTTGTGTAACTTTTGAATTATTTTAATAAAGACAATATAATTAAATATAATACAGGAACACTGTGTTGATCAATTTGATTTCGTTTAAAAATGCCTTTCAGTTTTGGAAAATATGTCAAACAAATAGTTTTCGAGGGAAATTGTTGTTAACCCAAGTTTTACTTTTGCACCATATTTTAATGGAGTATTATTTTATTAAAATTTTTAGAAATTAAGCACAGGTGTAAGTTTAAATTTCACAAAAATGTTCCTATTTAACAACGGACCTATGTTAATGACACATCATGTCTAACGACCATAAAGTGCTTTACATATGCCGTATAATAGACTTACACGGTCAAGTACTTAACATAATTGGTTGTTTTAACTTATTATTAATGACCCTCATACCGTTTGTATTTTGTAAAATATATTTGCATGTGTTCTCCAATATTGAAGACCGAAAATAACGGGTTCTTATGTTATTGAAACCAGCACTTTACATACACATTTAACAATTTGCTGCTAATTTGTATTATCCGTTATGCAGTTAGCGTGTTGTACGGTACAAATACCATTATATACAATTATCAGACTTGGCAATACATTTTTGTTAAGGTTAGGTTAGGTTAGGTAAATACGTAAAATAAAACATCCTAAATTACCTAAGAATTTGTCAATTACAATATTTTATTTTAATTATTAAGATACCTTATTTTTAATTACAGATTTATTATCACCTCCGCTGGAACACGAATCCGGCAGAACAAAGATGGATCATACGTATACTTTTCATCGTGCCGATTTATGCATTACATTCTTGGGTGAGTTTGTTGTTTTTCAACAACGAACACTACTACGTGTACTTCTTCACTATTCGAGATTGTTACGAAGCTTTCGTCATATACAACTTCATGAGTTTGTGCTACGAGTATTTGGGCGGCGAAGGGAATATAATGAGCGAAATTCGTGGCAAACCCATTCTGTGAGTATTATAATAACATTGTGTGTATTAAATTTAACTAAACGTGTAACCTAAAAAAAAAAAAAAATGTTTTCCACTCTGATGCGTACTATTATATTATATTATAATAATATCGATGAAATTGCAGATCGAGTTGGCAATACGGAACTTGTTGTCTGACCGGACGTACGTACACTATCGGGTTTTTGCGTTTTTGTAAACAAGCCACCTTACAGTTCTGTTTGGTCAAACCGACAATGGCTTTTGTCATTATATTCTTACAGTATTTCGGATATTACCACGACGGAGATTGGAGGTGTGTTAAAACACTATACGTTTTTAATTCCTGAAAAACTTGTAAGTATATATAAATAATGTTGTTCTTGTTTTTAGTATGAACGGAGGATACTTGTACGTCACCTGTATTTATAACCTTTCGGTCAGTCTGGCTCTTTACGGTCTGTTTTTGTTCTATTTTGCCACACGCGACTTGTTGACGCCGTACGAACCGGTGCTTAAATTTTGTACCATTAAGAGCGTTATTTTCCTGTCGTTCTGGCAAGGTTAGTATAAAAAAAAAATACCGTTACCAAACGTAGTAACGCAAAGGTTTTTTTTTTTTTGAAAAAAAATTGTAATTGTAATTGTACTTAGGAGTTTTGCTGGCCGTGTTGGAAAAAGCCAAATTTATCGATCCTCTCATCGACTCCAACGGCCAGCCCACCAGCGCCGGTACCGTGTCGGCCGGTTATCAAAACTTTTTGATTTGCATTGAAATGCTATTCGCCGCGCTGGCCTTACGAGCGGCTTTCCCGTACGAAATCTACGCCAACAACGCTCAGACCGCCGGTACAGGACATTCGTCCAGTTCGCGTACGGTGACCATGCAGAGTATTTCTAGCAGCTTAAAGGTAATATTACTTTGGGCAATTGACTAATTTTTTCACTCGTATCACAATAGTTATAATATATTATCGTTGTTACACAGGAGACCATGAACCCCAAAGACATTATGACGGACGCCATACACAACTTCCATCCACAGTACCAACAATACACTCAATACAGTTCAGGTAACTAGTTTGAACTTTTTTTTTTTTTCTTATTGCACGGTGTGGTTTGATATATATATATTTTTTTTTCAATTGCGTTTTGCGATAATAGTTTTTTTTTTTTGCCGTTTTTTGTTTGATCAATACAAATTGCGTTTGCACATTCATTAAGACGCTATTCGTGTTTTCTTAAGACGTATCGCGCTTGTTTACGCCAAAGAAATTGATTTTTTGTTCTTGTTTTTTGTAGTTCATTATATGTTTTAGCTAATTTATAAGTCGTCACTCCGACATTGTTATCATATTATGTAAATTTTTTTTAAATATATCAACACCGTAATATTATGTAAATTTTCTGTAAAACGTTCACAGTTATTATTTATTGGAACTTTTTCGTTTCTTTTTTTTTTTTATGCATGACTTACAAAGTATATTTACATTTTTATTTGCAGACGTTGGTTCCTCTCGACCGTATGAGAAACTATAAGCATGGACAAAGTTTTATAGTTGTAATTTGCCGCTCTCTTAATTTTTTAGATATTAGAAAATCCATATTATGTATTTATATTGAAATATTATTTATACGTATAATTTATTAGAAATAATTTAGTTATTATTTGTTTCTCGTTTACTTGTAGTATTATATATTTTTTATTGAGTTTTATTCATTTTTCATCATCGGGTAGCTGCAATGTGATTATTTTATTAAGAGTACATTGTGTTTGTATTTAATTTATTTTTTATTAATATGTTTGTTACTCGAGTACTTGACTTTTTATCTAACTAAAATTGTTTTCCTCAAGTGTTTCTTCGTAATATATATATATATATATATATATATATATATATATATATATATATATATTTTTTATCTCGACACTGCGAGTATACATTTAAAACTAGTCGCACGCGTTGAGAGAAAAATATCAAATTTTCTCTTTTTAATTAATTTCTTGCTAGTCAATACTTTTTTCCATCATTGTGTTACTTAATATTATTTCGTCTAGTAATTTGCACCACTATAAACGTTTTTAAAAATTGTATTTAAGAGCATCTGTTATTTGTTTAAGACATTTATAAGTCTGTGATCTGTGTTTTGTTTTATATAAACAAACAAACTAATTGTCTAAAACGTGCACGTGTACCAATTCCAAGTATTTTTACTTATATAAATTGTAATCTAATAATTTTACTAGTTATTAAGTACGTATAATTACTTACTTACTTAAAACTTCACTTAATATTACTAAACACGATCCAAGTGTTGTTTGGGGACCGATCCTCGCAATTTATATGTTAGACGTACTTTATAAGAAATTTTTTTTAACAATTATAAAATAATTTTTGTATTAGACTTAAACTTAGTATAGCTACAACAGTTGTTTTGAGCAGTTTTTTTTTTTAATTAGTTATTTCAAAATGTATTTTAAACTATTTTGTATTTATTTTTTAATATAAAATTGTTGTACAAATCTGCAGCGAACGTTTTATTCGTATAACTGATAAAAAATAAAAAAAGTACCTAGCAAGTATAATAATATGCTTTTTCTTAGTAAACAATAACAATTTTTAAGATAACCCAATTTCTGTTCTATTAAAAGGACATTTAAAAAGATATTATTAACCTATTTTATGGTAAAAAATTTAAATAAATATCAAATATTAACAGTAATATACATTATTTTAAATCCAACAGTATATTTTAAATAAATAATTTTTTTTTTTATATTTATAAATAAATAAAGATAGTCAAGACTGTTAACGGTATTATTAAGAGTATTATATAAACGGAACTTGCGGCAAACAAAGTTGGTAAGTACAAATCCGGCGAAAAATTTTGAAAAACCCACGTGAGTACATTTTTTCTAGCTGATGTGTACACGGTTTACTCGATGCACACACGTTATAAAGATGTTTAATAATAATATTACTATAATGTTAATACTTAATACGGCTTTCAGGAGGACAAAAGAGTTACGGATCAAAAACCACTACTGCCAAAGACAATCATGGCCGTCCAAAGACTGTAAAAACGACAAAGCAGACAACGCTGATTTACAACGAGAAGGCCATGTTGTTGAGCTCTGACGAAGAATTACCGTGAACACAACCGTTTAGCTTATTCGACTTTACTTATTCTATATTTATTTCTTCTGATTAACAATGCAAAAAAATTGATCATTCTTCCGTTGCGTGTAAAATTACCGGCTTTTTATAATCATTACGTAAAAAAAAAAACAAGATTCAAAACCTGTTATCGGATGATGTATATTTTCCGTTTCACACGCTCTCTCTCGTACTTATCGTCTAACTGCTAAGAGTTATTTTATTTCCCTTCCAAATAAATTCTATTCTACTTGATGGCTGTCCTTGACTTTAGTGCAATATTTACAATTGTTAGTACTTGCACATCGCATATTATTATTTATTTTAACATATATTACTCTTTATACATTTAGCTCTTGTTACTTCCATTGTTGCTGTCTGTGTTATCTTTAATTGTTATCTAAATGTAATCATCCTAATTATTATTATTATTACTATTACTGTACGCTGTTCGAATGTACCAAAACCTACTTATTTGAAAAATGTAATCGTTTATCGTATCTGTAAGCTTAAAACAATGAAAACTAGTCACCTATTATTTTAAAACTTGTATTTGTTATTAAATTAAGACGTAAGTTTGTTAGACTTAAATAAAATATAATATACAAGCACTACAATATAATATCGTTCACAAATATTTAAAAAAAAAAATCTATTTTGACTATATTATCTATAACTAAATTATTACGAGAACCTATTATTGTATAATACAAGTTAATATTTTTAATTTATATTGATAACATAAATTATCAAGGTAAACGTTAACACTGTGTATTCAGTTTTAAGTGTAAATCATAACCGTAACTATTATTTTTGAAATTACAAATTTAAACCATTTTCAATTTAACTTGATTTCTTGGTTATGTAACTAACTAAAAATATATATGTATATAATATATAAATATTAACTATGTATGTCTATCGAAGAATACAAATATATGTTGTTAAATAACTTAACTTCTTATAATTATTTTTAACGTATTAATAAAGGATCAAAATAAATGTGTCTATTTTTATTCTTTCAAATAAGTACATCAAGATTCTTGATACAAATATTGGCTACATTTAAAATGAGTATATTTAATTGATATTTCAGAAAATCATTAAATTGAATGTAATTTAAATTTGTTGCGTGCGAAAGGCCCAAAACTGTCATATCATTATTCTAACTAAAAAAATATTGTGTTTCACCAGAGACAATTACTATATTACAGGTTAAAACAAATTGTCTCAAGTTGGTCCAACTTGAGCTATGGTTAATGTAGGGACATGATTATTGTATAGTTGGCCTAATTAAATGTTTTCATAGAACAACTTGTTACTTAGTTATTTCAACAGAAACTTATTGAACCCTTTAATAAGCATACTTTTGTAAGTTCCGAATTTTTAACAACTCGGTCCAACTAGAAATGTATTGTGCCCTCATATTAACCATATAGTATTAGTTGGACCAACTTTGTTTTTTTTCAGAGAGTCACTTAATTACCTTAATTTATAGGTTAAATAGTACATTTAACATTTTGACTTGTTACCTATATTTATAATATTGGACAATACAATATGATAATGTTGCGATCTTTTCTTATTTCACGAAAATGTTCTTAAACGGAATTAATCAATACAATTATCGCTTTATAAACTGTAAATTATTTTAATTTTAGGTAGGTCCATATATATATATTAGGGGTGTTAAAATTGGGAAAAATCTAGTTTAGCGACCACTCATTTTTTTTTTATTCATTATATTTGTCATTAGATTTGAAAGTTTTTGGTAAAGTCAGAATTCACCTAGCATACTTACTTTTAATGTTATAAGCAAAAACTTGATTTTTGTAATTCAGCGGCAGCGGTGGCGTAGATTAAATGGCTAGGTTTGGACTCGTTAGGTCACTAACCGCTTCCAGAGCAGTATCAGGTTAGTTTTTTTTATTCCCTTTAGGTGAGCTATTTTTTCCTCTGGGGGTTTGTTCATTCAACGAAGAGCCCCGAAGGGGTACAAGTCGGCTGTCGTAGGGAGTTGTTTTATATAGCTAAAGATTTTCTAACATCAAGCTTTAATACAGAATACTTAAGAAAATTATTCAAATACAGTTATGATCAATAGTAATAGTAATAAAAATAAATAATTTACTATAATAAATAATAATTCTGTAGCAGCACGAACTCGCGTCGCCGACAAAATACATATGGTGCAGCGGCGGACTGTTGCGTCCGTAGCCGCCGCCCGCCACAGCCGCAGAATTATGAAAATCATTTCGTTAGTCGTACCTCTGTGGTGTTGTGGAAATCGACTGGTTCTTAATACCTTAATAGACAATTATTATATTCTTCTTCTTCTTCCGGCCTTCATAACTCTCCAAGAGTTTTTGCCGCCATCACTAAATCACCCCACTTATCTCGATCCTGCACGATCTCCCTCCAATTCTGTGCTCCAAGGTCCTCCAAATCTTTACAATAATGATATCACATCGTTGATAATATTATTCAAATAATATAATAATCATTAGTAATAGTAATAGTATTCTAATAGTAGTAATAACTAATAAGAGTAATAATAATAATAATATACTAATAGTAATAATACAGTAGCAACGCGAACTCGCGTAGCCGACAAATGTATTGTGCAGCCGCAATTTGTTACAAAAATCAAGTTTTTGCTTATAACATAAAAAGTAAGTATGCTAGGTGAATTCTGACTTTACCAAAAACTTTCAAACCTAATGACAAATATAATGAATAAAACAAAAATGAAAAACCGATAACTTTTGAGCGCAGTATTGCGTTTTTAAGGAAAATTCCGAAACTCAAGTTTTTGCTTATAACATGAAAAGTAAGTATGATGTTCAATTTATGTTTGCGCCATTTGTTTAAGCATAAAAAAATACAAATTTTGAAGAAATAAAAATTCAAAAAAAGTTAAATTCACGAAGTTATTGCACTTAAAAAAAAAAAATTTAGTTTTTGCTTATAACTTCAAAAGTAAGTCCGACCGACCAAATCTGACTTCACTATCGTATTCAGCGTTAAAAACACACATTTTGCAACAAAAAAAAAATTCGAAAAAAACGAGTGGTCGCTAGATTTATACCTAAAATTGTGTATACCTAAGTAAACATAATTCTTATCTTCACCACACCATTAGAATATATAGAATAAAATATTTAAAAACAAAAATATTCTAAAAATAAAATAATTTTAAACGAGTATGTTAATACATTAACAAAATTGTAAGGATAAAACTCAAGGATTGGGGTTTAAATTTTTGGGGATGCTCGTATCTCTCTAGCACCCCCCTCCCTCCTCTTTGTGGCGCTTATGTGTAAAATATAATATTGCTCACATTATCCAACAAAAAAAACTATAGACGTTTAAGGCGTATGTCTATAGTTTTGTAAATAATTTTTACTTTTTCAAAATAATTTTGAAAATAAATAGGTAACTGTATACTTAAATATTGGGCATTTTTTTTGGTGTATGGTTCGGTTTCATGCGATTGCCGGTAGATGGCGCTGCCACCCTATTTTTTTTGAGTTTGAGCATTTTCTCCAAGTTTTTTTCAAAAATTCGATCGAAGAGACTTACTAAATAATTTTGGAACGTGTTATATATATTGTACGGGATATTTATAAGTAATTAGTGTAACTTTTAGCACGTTTTCGTGGAAATTTTGAGTTTTTTACGGTTTTTTCGATGTTGCTTTCTACGTTTCTTCTGTGCGCTTGTTTTATCATAAATAGAACGTTGTTCGTCGTTGGAATTATCGCTTCTCGGCTATTTTTAGCTAAGATCAAAGTGTAGTATCTGTTCTTATCAGCTTAACATCTGGTACACCTCACACCGTGGGGTTCAAATGTTAAACTAATTTTTAAAATTGGTGGAGATCTGGGGCTTGCTCCTACTCCACCGCGGGTTGACCCGGTATTGCAGTACCATCGGGAACGGCCCATATAAACATCTAGTAATCATCAAAAGACATGCTGTTCTATGAACAATAAATACAAGTTGCTAATTCTAAAATATACATTGGACATTTTATCATTTTTCGAAAAAAATCAAAATTGTTTGAAAAAGCCAGTCTATCATAATAGGTTATAATCTCAGTTCAACTAGAAATCTATTGTGCCCTCATATTAACTATAGTATTATATAGTTGACCAACTTTGTATTTTTCAAAGGGTAACTTAATCACCTTAATGTATAGGTTAAATTGTATATTTAACATTTTGACTTATTTTGTTTGAAATATTGGACAATAATTTCATGCAACGCTAACCAAAATTGTTTATTGCCAACGAAATGTTTTATCAGCCTTAGGTGTTTTATATTATGTGCTGTTATTTTCCAAATAACATTGCCATATGCTTCATACTTA